AATTAAACTACCCGTTCAGAGAATAGTGATTTGAAGTTACAACAGACTGCAAATTATTTTATAGCGTTGTTATTGGCATATTTTGCGTCATTAATCTTTTTCCATTTAATCCCCAGAATCATTGACAATAGATAATCTATATATCGGATTGCAGTCAAGATAACGAGGAATTCAGCCATGTGGTTTTGTGTGACATTTAATAATTATTTTTTTTTAAAAAAAAGGCAATGATTCAGCGGCTGAAGTACGTATAGCACTGTTCTTAAGAGGCTTAAAATAGACAGAAATGGGTCTAAAAGCTCATATTAATGTATTGTGAATGTAGATAAACTGATTTACATTCAATTAGTTTTTTTAAATTGTAATTTCTAATTAATTAGGTTAGTGAAATACGTAAACAGTCAAGATTGAACGGCAGTCGCTTACACCTGCTTAGTCCATTTACACGTTTTGGTCTTTTTAACTTGTATTTTGTCGTGTGTGAATCAGATATTTTTTAAGAACTTCTGCATTGTCTTCTGGGATATTCTGTATTTGTTTATTAGAAATGGATATATTTTAAGTTCCATCAACATTGAATAAAAATTGTGACCTCTAGAGCGGCCACAACCTTGGTATTAATACTATATATACTATTTGCGTACGAGGAGCGGCCATTTTGTCGAAATTCCAATTCAATCGTCATTAGGGTGTAACGGATGGTGATATCATTGAACGGTATTTTTTAAAAATCGGATTGAAATTGTGACCTCTAGAGGGTGCACAATCTAAAAACGCGATTTTTCGCACAATCTGGGGCCATAATTCGGGAAGTTACGGTCCGATATGTGTGAATATGGAAAGGAACCGAGATCTTTGGGTTATAAACATACATTTTAAGTTTCATCAAAATGGAAAAAAAATTGTGACCTCTAAAGTGTATACAAGCTAAAAACGTAATTTTTCGTACAATAAGGGGACATAATCCATGAAGTTATACGGTCCGATATATGCCAATATCGAAAGGAACCGAGATCGTTGGGATATACACCTATATTTCAAGTTTCGTCAAAATCGGATAAAAATTGTGAAATGTTAAGTGTCCACAAACAAAATATGAAATGACGGAATGACGGACATCCGGGCGGACAGGGGCGACGACAATATACGTCCACCTGAAAATGTGGGCGTATACAAACAGTGTTACAAATCTAGATTTTGAATCCGATTCCCATCTTCGATTTGAAAATCTAGATCACCTCGCGATCATGAAACCATAGCACAGTAACGACCGTCACATAACTATTAATCCAATACATCTATTTTAATGTTTCAAATCCTCTATTACCAATTTTTCAATTGAAAAGGACAATGACTATATCATAAAATTGTAATTTATCCTAAAAATATTCATAAAAAATCTATTTTCATTCTTCATAACAAGTAGAAAACACGGCGTTTATTGTTACGGCACCATTAGTAGAAATGGATCGTGCAGTATGAGAGATCTATATCAAGGTTAAATATACAGTCGGAAAGGTTATTCTTTATATTCTCGACTCCCATCAAACAAACAGGCATTATATTACTAATCCTATAGGTATAAATAATAGGTGTTGCCTTGTCTATTTTCAGAGATTATTAGACGATAAGGGGTATGATTAGAACCAGTTCGTGATTATACAAATATACAAATGTAATTACGTTTCTGAACCCAGAAATATTAATTTCAAAATGGCGAAGTGTAAAGACCGTTAATTCCGTGAAGGCTTCGTGCACGTGAAGAATGATCTCGTATGAAGGGTATAAATCATTTCAATTTTGTCAAAAGCCTTTTTATGGAATGTATAAGTGTACTTGATATTATGTTACTGTTTAACAATATGTAAGGGGGATCACGTGGCTAAGTGGGTAAGACGCTGGCTCGCTAGCCTGGAGGTCGGGTGTTCGATCCCTGCATTGGCCGAGAAAGTTCATCCAGATTTTCCGGCGTGGTTTCCCCTTGTCAGTGATGCAGGACGGAGGGCCTGACAAGGACAGCTGTCTAGTCGTTCGGATGGGACGAAAAACCGAGGTCCCGTGTACATATTGACGTGCACGCAAAAGATCCCTTGGCAGTTGGAATTCGATATAAGAGTAGGCTGTAGCGCCGCTGCCCAGGCAAAATTTCCCTCATAGCACACTGTATGGCGTATGCCCGTCTTCATTAGCCCAGTTTAGGAGCAGAACAGTAGGACGTTAAACCCCATTTCATTTCATTTAACAATAAGTAAAGGATGGGGTGCCAGGCAAGGAAAATGCAATCAAGTCCCCCGGGCATATAAAATTTCATCAAAGGCAATAATTTTAAACGTAATTTTCAGAAATATCAAATCAACAAAAAAAAACCAACATATAAACGTATAACCTAGACCGCCTTAGCATTTACACGATTCTATGATCAAGGGCAATAACTCGAAAAATGATTGTTGATTATTGGATTTTAAGATCGTGATAATCTGTTAGAATAGTTTGACGAATACATCTAATTTTCCAATATAAAATTGTTTTTCCTATATAAGACAAACGAAGCAGTAAAATGTATAATGTATCACACAAAGAACAAATATGAATGCAAAAACTAAATTATATGCAATTTATGTCCGTTTGTGTAAATTACACTTCATGTGTAAATGATGAACTCTAACTACTAGGGTTACTACCAGGAACAGTGCAGACATTTTATTATTTTAGTTTTAGTTAGGAGCATTCTCAATCGGCTCTCCAGATTAGAAAATACTCAGGGTTTTGCAAGAGAGCATGACAGGTTATTTGGAAATCGTACTCAACATGTCTATTGCGAGAGACTAGGTACGCTTTTTCCCTAAATCAACTGACTTACATGCTTAGGAAATAAAGCCTTTTCTGAAAACAGCACAATGGAATTTACTAATTTGATTATGGAAGTCTAATGTACATCATAAAAATGTCAGGGTATCTTGAACGACCCTTTTTACTAATGAACAGGTAAAATTAATGTTACCTTTCAAATACAAAACATACCCATATACTAAAATACATTTTACATTTGAGATTTTTCAGCGTGCATGTATACTGCAAATACAACGGATGTCGCAATGCCCTTTACGAATTTAAAAGACTAATATGAACTGTTTTATTCAAAATTTATCAGTATATACCACAAAGAGCACCGTATTCCTTGTTAATTTAAGATATAAAAGACGAATAGTAAAGCTAACATACAAAAACAGATCAATAACCTTAATATCCTACAACGACCATGATGAGTTCGTTACCAATTTAATAATAAAATATTAATGTTAACCTTTAAGTAATAACAGGTACGTGTAAATAAAAATATATCAAAAAAGAGCGCTCAATTTCTCACTGATTTAAAGAGGTAATACCACTATGGAGATTGTCACCAGTCAGTAAAAAGATATCATGTTTGAATTGACGTGATTTGACAAAATCGGTGTTTCTCAAATTCAATTGTATGCAAAATTTTAGACCAATCTGTCAGTCCATTACTAGAATATAGACGTTCTAACTATTTTTACTGCGAGGTTTTTATGGAGCTCAACGAATCATAAGATCAGCGGTGGGATGTTTTATTTTAAATATTTGTCCTCAAATGTTATATAAATAATTAATTAGACGTTTATTCTAATGCCAAGCCCATAATCAACTCCCCGGACACACGGGTGATTTAGATTTTCAACGGATTTAAATATGATTGTCCTATAATTCATTTAAAAAAGGGATAATCAAGACTTTGTTTATTATCATAACAATGGTAGCAAGGACAATCGAGACTACTCTGTTCTCCATAACCCCACTCAGAATTTGACTAAAAGTTTCAACATATTCCCTTTTCATTATCTATTTTTTAACTATTATTGCGAGAACTGTCAGCTCTTTATCGAAATTTTACATAATGCATGTTTAAGATTTGGTTTATTCAAAATGTACCTCTTTTTTTTAAATGTGAATTTTCTAGCAAGAAGCAACACGAACTAGCTAAAATATTAATGCTACATAAGTTCCACGAGAGGTTTATAATGATATTTAATGAGCAGAGACCACGAAATGTCTCTCAGACTCTTAGATTATTCTGTTAGCGTGGGCGGCGATTTAATCTTGACTAACGTCACAGCAAAAAGCATTGTTAAAATCCAAACTACTTTAACCATTAACTGGACTTTTTCCGGAGGACCAACAATCAATTTGAATTTGTAATATTGAAGGCTTAAGCGCATTACCATGAACCAGGGTCTTTTTTGAACAGAGAAATTGGAAGCATTTCAATTCACAAAATGTAAATTGAAAAGAATTACATGCATGAACAACTGATCTCCAAGGAATTATGTAACTTTTGAGGTTGGAAATTGATGATAAAAACCAAATCAAAAATCGGTTTCCGGGGTTAATTGGATAGTGCATACTAGTTAAAGAATTTACTTCCGTTGCTTATAAAAAAAATTCTGTAACGATTTATAGGCTACATAAAAAATAGGCATTTTAAGTTTGAGGGGAAACACTCGAAGTTAAGTGCTTTAAAGACTTGAGTATGTTCACTTTCAAGTGCAGCATATGAGGATATCTATTGATTGTGAAAGCATTGCTAGAGAATAAAAGGTTTGTAAGCACCTCGATACGTAATTTTTCACCCGGTCCAATATTATTACCACCTGGAAGGGCATAATAATACGAAAATAAATCGACCTATAAGGTTCACCATGCACACGGAAGCTTTAAATTCAGAGACAGTCGAGATAACTCTACAAAAAGAAAAAAATATTTCAAAATATTTTGGATAATCGAGCCTAAAACACACGCATCATACCATAAGAAACGCATATTCTGGAAAGAAGGTCTCTATGTCCATGTTATTGAGGTCATAAATTTACCGAACGGTGAGAACGGGTGGCCGTTTACCTCCTTAATGGCCAATTTATTTCGTTATTATTATTCCCTTCTAGGCGGTATTAATATTGGAACGGGTTAACTGTTGGACTTACCTGTTTCTAAATGTATCAGTTAAACGTATGTTAAAGACATGCCTTTCCAGAGTGAAAATTGACTCCCATCATCAAGTATGTAACGAACTAAAACACGAAAACGACGGTAAAACATTCGTCTGCCGAGAAAAGATATTTTGGCGGGATGGCGGCAAATCGCGCTGGCGTTAAGGTAAACATAGAAATTGTTGAACCGTAGTTCAAAGCACGTTAGAAACTCGTCTATTACACGTGTGAACATGCAAGTAAAGGTAATAAATAATAATACCATGTTGATGTTGATGTTCGTTTTTATACTACCATGGTATATGGTATTTTGTCATGCCATACTATCTGTTTATATAAGAATTGTGTTATTTCTATTTTAACAAACATAACTATCTGTTACGTATAAAACATACATTTTACTTATCATATCTTATAATATTTATTTGATTAAAAGGTGGAACTTTTTTTTATACCGTTTATATTTGAGATGTGAGTTTGGTTCACTCGGTAAGTTTAGGGTTTACAGTGGTTACAAATTTCTATAATACACTGATGTAATATTTGTGGATAAAATAAAATAGGTGGAGATTTAAGAATATTCGGGAGAAATAAAGGATACACGCCAAAATTAAAAGTAACTCAAATTCAGTGAAATATATAGACAGTACAGTATACAATATTCGGAAGACATCATAGCTAATACATCTACCTGAAGACGTAAAATATTGTTAATTCGTTTACTTATATTTAGATTATAAATAGTTTTAAAGCAAATATTTAGAATAACCTGAAACCACCAACTGACAAGAGTAAATTGAATATTACTTTTTCTAATTGAAAAAAAAAACCCAAACTTATTTAGACCTGGCGCATGACAGATCGGGGTGCCTAGGGGTTGTTAATTATATGCAATCATTTTTGCAATTAGCAAAGTTTACCATTAGATATGATACATAATGTGCTTTTAACATCCAGTCCAAGGTGAACTTAAAATCTTATATTTAATTAGCTATGGTTATTCAAAGTGAGCATTCAAATTAAGCTATGAATAAAACAGTGTGAGGTGATGTTGTTTTCAAAGCACGTTTAGAATTATCATGAAGATTTAAAAATCTCATTTATTTATGTATTTCGTTCTTAAATAACACAAATTATGTACAGAAACTCTAAAAAAACATATTTAAATTACTTTCAAAATTGCAAAAGTAATTGACTTTGTAACATCCTAATTATAGCCATGATTTGGTGTAATTGCTGAAATAAAATAAATTTGATGTTATGTAATATTTCCTGGCTATGTATTTTCCAGACCATTAAATAAAAAGGTACCACAGGTACGAAATTCAATTTGCGTTAATAGACGGAGTACGACATGGCTCAGTCGGTGATCCAATTTTGTTGACCACATGTAATTGATTAACAGAACTCGATACTTAGTAACCAAAATGGCCACTAGGGGAGATGAAATTTATGCAGTATTAGTGCACTGATTCAGTTTTCGACGTGTGTATAAGATAAAAAAAAATCTTGTTACACTCAAGCAAAAGTGCCACTTTACCGCTATCTATAAGATTGAACAGACATCTAGGACTAACCGATTTTATGTGAATTCTGTTGTTACCCCTTTAACATCTACAAACAGGTATCCTCATCCAATTTGCGATACCCGTACGCATAGTTGAAATAAACAAATATGTTAGGTCATTTACAGATAATATAATAATTTATTATTATATTAGCGCTAGTCTATAAGGAGAAAGGTTAGGCCTGGCCCGTTCCCCAAATCGATAGATAGAGATTGATTCAGATATCCTAAGCGGTACTAAAAAACGGTAGCCAATTTAATCTATATAAATAAAACCAAAGATGTGTGTATGTTCGCCCATCATGCTTCTTCGCCGCGATCTGTCCCCTCATACCAGCATGACCTCGTGAATGTTTTAGTCCATGATATCTGAAGGTCAAGATCATTTATTAGTTTAACACAGCCACAAATCAATGTTAGGCTGTTTTACTGCAATTAACGGTTAACGAGAGGTAACCCTGTTTATTATGCTAATTAAGTTTTATAATAGTAACGGATAATGTAAGTTAACGGGAAAGCGTGCAAAAAGAATATTCGAGTAAGTAGATCTTGGGCCCCGGGCGAAGCCTGGCATCGAGTTAGTAAATAATAATGCAACAAGATGGTTTAATATTCGATATACCACGATTGTTCAACTAACTTTGCAAACACCTCATACAGTAGGACGTTAAACCCCATTTCATTTCGTTTCATTTCTCATGCCCAAAATTTGACATCTACCTCAAAAAGATTTGCGCCTGGAACTTTGTGGAATTTATCTGATGAAAGAAAGGTAAAAACATGGCTTTGAAAATTTTATAGTGATCCTAAATGTGGAGCCTTAACTGAATGAACATTATGGCGGGCAAACAGTTGTATAAATATTTTTTACACTTTAGTTGAAATAAAAATTTATAATATGGAGAAAAAAAACCAAGCCCCACCATTAGCACCCCCCCCCCCCCACAGACACACACACACACCCGACCCTCAATAAAAAGAACGCAATTTAAAAAAAAACAAAAAAAAAAAAAAAAACCCAAAAACCAAAAACCTCGCATGATTAAAAAAGAATGAGAATGTGATTTTATCCCTCTTTGTTTTCAATTTAAGCAAATTTAAATACTAATAACTGGTATTGAAAGGATTAATCGACACTTAAGTAGATAATCTAGTAGTTTCATTTCTCAAGAAGCACTGCAATCTAATTTGAGAGAAGTCTATATCTAAAGTTACCATTCAGGAATCACTAAAATTTCCTTAAAGACTGCATATCAAATTTGAGAGAAACTCTCAAGGGGTTTAGGAGAAGTCTAAAATCAAATGAAAAATCCATGATATATAAAGCTGTTTAAATGGTTATAAATATTCGTCCTTATAAATCAATTATAGGTAATGTAATAAATTACGATCTATAATGGTGTTAGGTTTTAATATGGATCAGAACCTGACGTAATCGCAGCCATCTTGAAATTGTACACAATGTCCATGGAACAAGCATGCCAAGTTTCATGTAGATCGTACTTGAATTGGTGGAACCTTCGCCACTAAGAACAACAAGAACTACAAGATGAGCAGCGCGTGGGGCCCAGTTCAAGGTCCAAGAGACCAAAAACATTATAAAAAAATAAATAATTTTTTATGATTAATAACCTGCCGTGTCTACTGTCTTTCAAGGAAGTGTCAACAATTTTTTAGATGGTGGGAAGGGTGATGGGGATTCTCATGGCACGATCTGTAATAAGCTTTTTAGTAGACATTTGTACCAGCGTGAACCTTCAATAACCACGCCAGATGATCTTCGCTGATTATTATCATGTGTCTAAAGAAAATAATTGTATCTGGATATTGATAGGAAAGGATTAGATATTTCCTTTCATACCAGCTGGCCAGACCAGCCAATTGCTACAATTAATGGTTGTTTCTTAATGTAGTGATGTTGGTTATTGTACACCTTCATAACATAGTGTTTTCTGCTTTTTCAGCACGTGGCGTCTAGTAATACAGGTTTTAATCTTAATGTTATCCTAAAAAAGATCCAGTGCATACTACTTAAACAAAATTACATCCAAACGTTATTTTTCTAACACATGTCGTATTTATGATAAAAAAAACTGCTTATTTAGAGGAAAATATTATGGGCGAATAACGGTGGTTTGTGCTCGTGTGGTTATGCCACTAGTTAATCAACAGTGTAATTTCAGGCAAGACACCATATGATATTTCCTATACAGCGTTTCTTACGACGTAAGCAATGATGTTATTTTATGGCAAACATGCACATGGGACTGGTAGACATAAATATATATATGAAATTTAAAAAGTTATGGAAAGAAACACAGTATTATACATTTCTTTTTATCTCAATTCTTTGGAAAATTATTTTAAAGGGACACTATTCGGACGAAAAAGGAATATTGTCTCTCAGACAAATACAATAAATGAAGAGAGAGAGAGAGAGTTTAACGTCCACTCGACACAAACTATGCCATTTCGGGACTAACACATGGTTCAATTTTATTTCAATAATTCGCTTGCGCGTAGGGGTCTTTGCAGTGGGAGGAAACCGGAGGACCCGGAGAAAACTCACGAGGTTGGACAGGCGACCCTACTCCTTGTCACATACAACTGGGGAATCGAAACTATGCCAGTTGACTCAATGACAGACCTTATGATACAGCACACACGTGCTAACCATTTGGCCATCCAACCCCCATAAATACAATAATAAAGATAGTTTTAACACCGGAAAGCACCATTTTATACTGAATACCGGAAAACACCGGAAATACACTAAATACCGGAAAAATCCTAAATACCGGTAACCCGGAGCCTGGTCCTCTGTGTGCGGTTTTGGACCAAGTGAGCGCCGATGAAGGAAGGTCAATGTCATTACGATGTTCGTATTACAAATAGCCCCCCCCCCCCCTCCCCCCCCCCCCCCAAAAAAAAAAACCAAAAAAAATTCCGATTTTTTTTTTCTCCAAAATTTTGTTGATGCCTATTATGTTTTGAATGTTTTAAAAGACGCAATCAGTCTACCTCCATCATTGACCATATTTTATTTTGTATTTTAATTTTAGTTTCCAGTAAATTTCAGTAGATTTCAGTGTTTCAGTATCTCAGTAGATTAAACACAGCCCTCTGAGGGCCCCGTTATATGCCGGTTGCGCCGGTCTCCTGATTCTTACTAGTAACGCTGGCATCAGGGTTGTACGAATTAGTGGAAGGCACGATTGGGCCAACTCCTCCCTAGGTAACAAAAAATCGCATCATAAAACAGCAAGTATCATCAAAAGCGAGTTAATAAATCTCTGAATAGTTCGAGTTGAAGTTCCAGGTTTAACCGCTATGTGTCCTAATCACCAAACGAAATGGATGCCACGCCATTATCGGACAAGCTGTAATCTGAAAAGTGTCTATCCTTTCCAAGAGCTATCCATCTCGTTGGTAGGGCTAAAAATCTACTTGTTTCTGAGCTTACTTTCATTCCAGGGTCAAATATAATCACTTGAACCATAATAATATTCAACATATTCCATCATATTCCGAGGGCCGCACACAGGATTTTTTT